TTTTTTTTTTAACCACGCGTGCGAAATCTTGTTACAACGAAATTTCAAGGACTCGGAAAACCTCGATCTTCATGAGTACACTGATTCCCCGCATAACGAAAAACTCGCTCAACGACGAATCCGTATTGCAAAAATTCTTGGGGAAAAATCATGACTCGCATTCTGAAATTATTTCGCAAAATTTTTTTGGAAAACGCCCGAATTTGAAGGTGAACTTGGCTTTATTCTCACCGATTATTATTTGTTTTTCGACTTTTCATGTTGTTGATGGCAGAGTAAGATTTTCTATTTAAAAAAAAACGCGTGTGAAATCTCGTTACAAAGAAATGTAAGGGACTCGGAAAAGCTTGATGTACAGAATTGCACTGAATCCCTGTATAAGGAAAAATCCGAATTTACGAAAACTCCTGTTGCAAAAATCATGCATCGCATTAAGAAATTATTTCTCTCAACAATTTTTTTTGGCAAAAACGCAAGATTCATCGTTCTTTTTTATTTTGTTGTCATTTTTCATGATGGTTAAGAGGTGAACTTTTTTTATCTCGATCACTTCCCCTACTCCAAATACTGAAAGTTAGGAATTAACTTTTCGAACACCCGTGAAATCTCTTCATAATCAAATTTCTGGGATGCGAAAAACCTTGTTGTACATAAGTAACCTGAGTCCCCGCATAATTCATAAACACTCACGCAACGAAAAATCCGCATTGCAGACATTCTTGGGACATAAATCATGACTCGTATTTCGAAATCAATGAAATTGGATAATTCTGATGGAAACACTGAAATCCACCAAAAAATCAATGGATAGAAATGAATCTGGAATACAATTTTTTGCATTTTTTCAATGGTTTTTCGGATGCTGGGACCTTTGAAGAAGTACTGTTATGACGGAATTTTATCAGTGGATCAATTTCATGCGTAGCGAGTAATTCATTTTTTCCGTGCATTCCATTAGTTTCATTCACTCATTTCTTTTCCTGGTACAGTTTTAAGTTTCCTTTCCTTTTGAATTTCAAAAATTTGGTAATAATCAATTGTTACCACGTTTCCCGCTTCCTGAAATTCCATGGGGCGAAATAAACTCCAGGGTTCCAAGTACTCATGAAAATTCCATCATTTTTATGTGGGGAAGAAAAATGCGGTGTATGTCAGCGTTTCCGTGTTCCATTTTCACGGTGTATGACGTTGAAAACTTGAATGAGGAGGAAATGTAAAATCGTTGGAATTTCCGTATTACAAGGATTTAATCATAAAATACTTATTGAAACGAGAGAAAAATGAAACTAGCAGCTTTTCGTTTGAATTTAACTTGATTTCTGTATGGAAAAATGAGGTTTTTCCCTTATTTATCATATGGTACTATTCGGCGTTAAAAAATTTTTATTGAGACCATAGTCCATACTCGCTCTTCTTTTGGACGAATTATTTGGTAAACAGAATTTGCGTTTAAAATTGACTTTCCTTTTAATGCCTGCTGTATCGGTCAGTATGTACGGTAATACAGGTAACGGCTTTTCGAATATTGAATGGATACGATAAAAAAAATGCCATTGGCTGAATCAATGGACGCATAAATCCTATCTGATTTTCTCTCATCTTCATATTTATTGGTACATTTCCATCATTCTTGTGGTGGTTCTCCTCTCGTTTTGTTGTTATAATTTTTACAATTTTTTTTAATGATTTTAATGTTCATTTTTGCGAAGGTTCAAAGACGCAGAAATCGAGGAAATGCCCGACTCAGGCGGAAACTGCTGCGTTTATGCCGTGCGGGAAATTGGACATCAACGGGTTTGTGAGGCACATCCAAGACGTGTTTGGCGCGCAGAACGTGAAAGTTGGCTATGAAAAGGACACCGTCATCCTGCTGGTGAGCACTTGACTGTTTTTCGATGAGAGGCTCGTTTTGTGTGGGAAGTAATTAAGTACATTGTGAGGATGATTTTTTTTTTCATTATTTTAGCTTTTCGTTTTCATTTTTTTGTGTGTGTGTGCGTTTGTCTCTTTATTTACCTCTGCGTTTTTCTTTTTCTCTCTCTTTTTCACTTGGCGAATAGAACGTGAATGAGCAGGAGAGTGTGATTCGGCTGGCTGAAGGCAATACCCACATTTGCAGCACGGACGAGACGCTTCGCCGCAAGTTGTGCAAGCTGGTGATTGAGAAGCTTTCGGCGCCTTTCTAGGCAAGTTTATTATCGGTGCGAATTTCTACTCGGTTTTTTTTTTCGTTGCTCGATGTAATGTTTTTGTTTTGTTTTAGAAATGCACCTTGGCTTTTTTCTGTCGGTGTTCCGATACTTTTTTGCTGTTATTGTTGGAGGCGTACACGGAAGCTGGAAGTTATTGTATTTACTCGCGGGTGTAGAAGGAGCCGTATGAAGCATATTTATTTTATGCTCTTCAGGATGAGTATAAAAGGAATTTTTTCATTTTTATCATAAGACTCACGTTTATGGAGTTCAGTTCTGTAGAATTGGACGGTATTGGCTATCACATAAATCTCACCAAGATGTTATCATGGGTTTAGTTGAATTCTGGGCTGAAATTTCAATCGTAAGTTGGACGATAAGACGCATATTCAATTCTTTTCAGTATGAAATTTTGATTGAATTGTATACCTGAGCATGTTGCGCTGCCAATTTCAATTAGCTCTAAAACTTCAATGCAGTGCTGTGTGAACAAAAATTAAACCTCCACAATTTGAACCCAAATTTTTCAAGCATTTCCTTGAAAAAAGTTCTTGGATGAAATTGGTCCAAAATTTCCCATTCGAATCAAGTGCAATGCACACCTGATCTTCTAAAATGCTTTTAAAATTTTATATTGCCTGTGAAATGCACCCCCATTTTTCTGCTAAATTTTGAGAACAAATGTGCATATGGTGAATGCAGTAATAAGTTGCTGTCCAGTGAAGAGTACATTAATTGTAAGATACGATAAATCTTTTTCTGGGAAAATTGAGCTTATATAAATTTGAAATGAATCTAGAAAATTTTGGCATTGGAAGCTTTTTAGTGGTGTAGTGTGGTTGGTGATAAATGAGTTGGTTTAATTAATGGTAAGTATCAGAACTGTAGATTATTCATAGATCTCCCACCTGCGGGAGGATGCTTCATTCTCTGTGAAGAGCATAAAGAAAATAATTCGCTTCCTTTTTCTGTAGCATCTATTATAAAATTTAACTACTACATTATTTAAAAACAGAAGGCCTGATAAATTTGAATAATTGAGCTCTGCCCCA